AAAGCAGGAAAACAAGAATGAAATTTCATGTCATAGGTAACATTTTTTAATAATACCCACATCCTAATCTCATGGTCAAATCCCCAATTGATTTCCTGAATAAAAAGCAGAAGTACAAGTGAACAGTGTAGCAGGATTTGAGCAGGCCTTGGGGAGGTGACCTGAATTGTATGGAAGAGCATGATGAAATGCTTCTTTTTAACCATGAAAAAAACTTTAGTACATTGGCATGTAGAATATACTTGGGAACATCAAATATTTGGAGGTGTTTCAATATACTTATTGTGATATGCGCCAATAGTGTGTCATCACAGAAAAGTCTATAAACAAATTATTTTGACATGAACTTGTCTTTGCAACAAACAAGAAGACCTTTTGGAAGCTAACTTTTGTGTCCATGGTCAAATGGAGCCACTATTAAAGCAGGCATTACCAAACCTTTTGCACATAGAACGTAATGTTCTCAGTTTTAAGTGACTACTGCTGTTGGGTTTGACCAGCTTACGTTTACAACAGCACTGTGTACACATTTGTATCATGAGAATATATTGCATTACACTCTGTATTATACTATTGAAAGATACTACCATCCTTGTATTGCATTATTTGTGCATCTTGCAAGCATGAGATGAAAGACACTGTGATTCAAAACCTACTTCCACTTTTTCACAAAAATATACCACTATGGTATAATAAATGTGTCTCTGAAATGAGTGACGCATAAGACATAAGTGTCCTATATTCTTATGTCTGCCAAAATCCAATAAGCCAATCACTCCTCAAACTATAAGGATTGTAATTGGATCCAAACAAGTGCAGCAACAAAGTGAACCAAGTTAGTACGGTGAGAAGGCCTTTGTTTACAAGCAACATCAAGCGCCAATTAATTTTTTAGGTTCAGTCTCCAATAACCTACAGCTACAATTTTTTTCAAGTGACAAGTCTCTGAACACTGAATCCAGAATTTCCAAGTCTTAAAGACACAGTAATCTAAGTCACTACTGTCCTTATACCACAGTAGGTATTCTATTGGCACACTCCTAAGGATCTGTGTCCATAACTTTGTTCCTTTTCTCCCAGGCCAAGTCTGTTCTTAAGGATTCAGGTCCAGAGATGGTGCTCAAATACCTAGCTGCATTCCAGAACAAGGGGTTTCCAACCTACCATTCCTTCTCATCCTTTAGAGGTATTACTCAAAACATTCAGCTCATTGTTTGAATAGCAGAAGTGAGAAAAAGTCCATGTGTTACTGAGGCCAGGCTTACGCTCAAAAGTTAAATTGAAAAATCCACACCCATGAGCAACGTAGTTAAGACGACCTAACCCTCAGTGTAGATGGCACTAGGTTAACAGAAGAACCCTTCTGTCAATGTAGGTACTGCCTCTCGGGCAGGTGAATTAACTAGGGCAATGGGAGAACTCCTCCCATTGCTGTAATGAGTGGCTATGCTGAGGTGCTACAGCAGGGCAGCTGTGCCGCTGTCGCATTTTAAGTGCAGACGTAACCCTACTTAGATTTGAAAAACTATTAGAGAGAGATACACAGGAGGGAGAATGAATGAAAAGCAGCACCCCAAGAGGCCTACCCCTGGAAACTAGTTGCGAACAGAAGAAGAAATACTGTAGTAGCAGAGACAAATGTGTTATTTCCTTTTAAGCAAAGGCAAAGATGTTGTGCTAGAAAATCATGTGTGATTGAAGTGTGGTTGCAGATAAGTGCCAAAGGAATGGTTTCTGTCTCTTGGAAATACTCATGACCACACCGTGGTTGTGTGTGCTGGATGCTGTCAAGGCCTGCCATCATACAACACACAGGAGTGTACTAGAATCCAGTAAGTTCCCTCTGAGGCTGATCCACTTCACTAATCAGTCACTCATAAGAGTATCAGTTTTCTCCCCCCTGCTAAATGGAGATAAGTGGAGCAGAGCTCTGGGCTATCAGCAAACAACAAGGCTTACTAACAGCATTGCTGTGCTAGGCCCTGCCTTCATACTTTTCATTTTTATAGCACCTGTCATTTGAGATAAAGTAGTGATATTTTAATCACTAAAAGTTAAATTCACCCCAGTGCAGCGGATCCAGTTTCATCCTAAGGTAAGAGAGAGGTTAAGGGCTAGATTGTTAAAGGTGTTTAGGGACCTAAAGATGCAGATAGGTGCCTGGTGGGATTTTCAAGAGTGATTTCAGTGGGAGTGAGGTGCCAAGGTGCTTTTGAAAATCTCACTAGGTACCTCTCTACATAGGAGCATATCTTTAAATACAGAAATGTATAAAATGAGTGACTGTGTTGGAGAGATTAATACAACCTGCTGTGTAATGTGTTCCAAATCTTTTACCAGGCAAACGTAAGATGAGGCCTATGGTGGTGTAAAGGGTGTAACTAATTGTTATAATCTTATATTCACATGCAATATTTTATAAGAGGCACAATTTGCATGTAAAAAACCAACTTGTTCTTTTATCCAGAAAGTTATTTTTTTTTTAAATTATGTTGAGAAACACTGATCAAATGTATTTGGTACTTTACTGCTAAAACTCCAGTGATTAATTTTAACCCCCCCCAAATCAACCAATACCATACTAAATTAGAATTTCACCCGCATAACTGCAAAGAAGCTGCATGGGAAGTGCCAAGACCTAGTAAGAGCCACTTCATTACCTCTCCATAGTTTCCTTTCTTTCTCATATGAACTATATTAAAACTTTAGTTTTTAAACATGTCCTTGCTTTCTGATTGGTTGAAACCAAATTATGTGATTTCTGTAATCTGATACTTATCCAGTGTCCATTGAAGTCAATGGCAAAACTCCCACTGACTTCACTGAACATAGAAACTGGGCCTTAATAAAATGAACAGCAGGCAAGAATCAGCTATAAAATATTGCTTGGAAAACAATGCCCTCAGGTAAGACATAATATATTGTCCTGTGAAAAATACAGTAATCTTTCCAGCATGATACAACATTTCTACTCCTTGTACAGTAATTTTCATCTCTTGCTCTTAGCACTGATAACTATTTGTATAATTTCTACATGACTATGTAGACTAGTATTTCTATAATATTACAGTAGCACAAATGTTATTAATAAAAATATTTCTTGCTTACAGAAGACAAGTTTGTAATTTGGTGCTTTATAGTGAATATATTTATGGGTAAAATTCACTCAAGCCCCACTGCCTTAGGAAAAACAGATCATTCCAACCCTCATTACCTCATAAAATAAGTTACAAATATAATCACTGTAAATTAGGGCAGAATAATACTGTTTAATGTGTCTTTTTACCTAATTATGATCCTGAACACAGTATAAACAGTCCGCTAAAACCTTGGTCTCAGATTTCTCATTCCAATATACACATTTCATACCAAATAAAAAAGATGGGCTTGGGAGGAAAGGGGAAAGGATTTTGCCATGGACAATCTATCAGTGAAATGTTTTACAATCTCATTCTAAACCTAGTCCTAAAAAAGTACATTAATTTTGTAAATGCTGATAGTGACAAAAGTTAACTAGTCAACTAACCACTATTATAAATGACTAATCTCATCTGACATGATTTTTTTTTTTCAGCACCTCTCTCACTAAATATCCACATGCTGTTTAGAGTCAAAAACTTGAACCTCTCCCTCGGGATGACTTTAACAAAGAGATCACCAAAAAGAGAAAGTTCAGCTCAAACCTTCTCCCCGGGCTTGGCTGCCTATTGGGTTCCTCTGTCTTGATTGGTCAGCCCTAACCCTAGAACATCTGTCTTTACAGCACCACTCCCACTTTCCTCATAGCTGTATGGGGCAATAAGATACTTGGCTCAGTGAGTCAGCACAGCAGAACCCACTTTCCAGCAGCATCAACACTTTCTTATAGCATGAGAGCCAGATAAAGCCATTTTGGGGTAAGAGGATTCAGCTGAGGAATGAGCATCCAGAGTCTGACCATCTGCAGGGCATGCTGCAAAATTTTTATAAAGCTTTCCAGCCATAACCAGCTTCCAGTATCCACTGCCAAAGAAAAAATACTTTAAATTCACCAATAAGTGAGCTGGTTTCACATTTTAGATTTTTTTTCCACTTTGGCACTTTATTCCAAATTTTGACCTCAGCAGGGACAGGAGTTTTGCCATTGACTTAAATGGAGGCACATTTGGTCTCATAACTTGAACCCTGACTCCACATCTAGTCAAAGCTATTCCACCCCCATGCATTTTAAGTTTATTCTTCTTGGAAGCTAACTGGTTTCCCAGTGATTCTTAATGAAAAAAGCTGTTTTCAAAGTAGAGAACACTTAGAGTCAGGAGGAAATACATTGTTAATTTTCTCTTCCTAGAATAAAGAATTTCAAAGCAGCATTCTGCTGCTAGGTGAGGCACATCACAGTCACCAGGTTTTCTTATTGCCAAACCCTGTGGTAGAGATTGGAATTTTGTTATGGTAACACAATAGCTCCTCACACCAGAGGCAAGTTTAATGTGGTGGTGCCAAACTGAATAATAGTAAGCTCAGCCCCATCTTTACAGTTCCTGCGTTTAGAGATGACTGGCATTCAAGCAACAAACCAAACAAGCTGATATTTTTGTTTTATTCAATGCTGCAAACTTGGCTGGTTAGTATCTAATTTGTGCAATCATAAAATTCCCTCATGTCACTTTTTTTTTTTAATCACACTGCTGCTTTGAAGTAATATACAAAGTACAACAAAGGATTCCAGCCACACACTCAAAAAAACATAACCAGAGAGTTAATTGGTGAGACAATGGGCAAATTTTTCTCACTTACACAAGTGTATATCTGGAGTAGCTCAATGGACTCCAGCAGAGTTTCTCATGCAGAGGAGTATTGAATCAGGCCCACTACATCTACTTTTATCTCAGCCATTAGAGCCTTCTCTCTAGGGCTAGCCTATACCAGGCATTTTCACTAGTGTAGCTATAACAGTGTAACTGTCCCAGTGGAAGTCATACACCAGTGTGGTTTACTCCAGAAATCTCTCTTCCCCTCCTCTCCCCCCCCCCAAAAAAAGGGGGCAACAACCCAAAACAGTGGAAGCTACTCACAAGACCACATTGCCTTGAGGGGGTGTTCTGACTTCTGTTAGCCACTAAATTATTATATCTGACACCTTTTAGAACAGTACAAAAATCCATCGGTTATGAAAACAAATGTATTCCTTTAAGCTATCCTTATGTAATATGCACTTTCTAAAAAAAATTAATCTGGTTGACACCAGAAGCTATATTTTCTTGCATAAAACTAATGTTCTGAACACTTCTACACCAAACAGGTCTCCCTTGATATTTAGGCAACAAAACAATATAAAAATACATATTAGTGTAAATACATATTCTTGTAAAATCAGAGGGAGTGTATTTAATTATTAGAGGAACAGATTGGGAGTCAGGAGGCTTGAGTTTTATTCCCAGTGATGCTAGTTAAACTGTGTGACTTTAGACAATTTAATTTTTCTACCTCTCAACTTTCCCATCTGAAAATGGGGATGAAATGACTCACCTAGGAGTTTAGAGAGACGAGGTGGGTGAGGTAATATCTTGTATTGGACCAGCTTCAGTTAGTGAGCAAGACTAGCTTTCAAGCTTACACACAACTCTTCTCTAGGTCATGGAAATGTACTCAGAGTCTCACCCCTAAATACAAGGTGGAATACATTGTTTAGGAGTTGTAAGGCTTAACTGACATTTGTAATTGACTGAGATCTTTAGATGAAAAATGCTATGGATAATGTGATCCAGTGTACTGTACTGCATTAAGAGTTAGGAGACCTACCTTCTATCCCAACTCTGCAACTGATCTGCAGTGTGACCTTGTGCAAGTCACTTTACCTCTCTGTGCTTCTGTTTCCCCGGTATGCTTTGTTTGTCTTATCTATTTAGATGGTAAGCTCTTCAGAGGAAGGACTATTCTATGTACAATGCCTAGCATAATGGAACCCTGGTCTCAGGTGCGGTCTCCAAGTGCTACTGTAATAACTGTAATAAAAATAAGTAATCTGAATTTAGCATTAAATATGAGAGATCTTTAAATACTCCCCTTGAAGATAGAGAAATTGTTGCATACTTTAAACTAGAATAAGGTAAATTAACTGAAACAGAGAAGACTTTTTTCATAAATATCCTTACAGAGTAGCAACCATCAGTATCTACATCAGTAGTAATCCAGTGCTTTTAAAAATGGTGCTACAAGACCCTTAATCAATGCAGTTTTCCATGTGGCTAAGCAGGCATGCGCACTGTGTCAGACTGCCCCTTCTCTAGCACTGCAAGACGTAGGAAGCTATTATTCCCAAATGAAGCATTTGGTTGCTGACATCAGATGCGGTAGAATCCTTTTGTTTGCCTGTGTCTCCTGCATTGCAATGTTTGTCTGAGTCACAAGCCCTGCCGTCTTTCTTCCTCTGCGACATAGCTCTCCCGGATTCATGGATTTTTCATTTTGACAATACCTGATTCTCATGATGGCACCTGAATATTTTCCCCTCAGTATTGTATTATGCAAATTACATCTAAACACTATAATGATCCAGAAATCACTGTCACTCTCTTTTTCAGCATTTTAAATAAAGAAGGAGGTTTTGTGATTCACATTCAGCACTGAATTTTGTTTCAAAGCAAAGTCAATTTTAGGATGAATTACTAAATTAAAAATTATAGCTACTGACTCCCACAACTTGAATCTCCTATTTAGGCTGCTGGCTAGGTTTCCCCAGCAATCAAGTTAGCAAGTTCTGTGCTTCAAGGGTGTCAAGTAATACATACATACTCCCCTTGTGGTAAATATTTGCTTTTGTATCTAAACCTTATAAAATGCATCCAGATATTATGGTAACCAGCCCCCTCCCCATGTTCTTGCAATAATTAATATTTTGAATTGCCATTCAGTCATTCAAGGTTTATTTTCTGTGGAAGAGACCAGATCTTTGCTGCATTTTCAGTGGGTACATTTATGTTCTTCCCTTCCGTTTAGATTTTGGAGCTGCTAGTACATTGCTGTCTTTTAAGAAACCCATCTCTCTTCTCTAAATTAAATTAGGACTACAAACAAAACATGCCCTAGTGATTAGGATCACCATACTAAATCCTCTATTAGAAGAAAGATAGAACAGAGGCTGAAGACTATCCAGCCATGTAGATTAGACCTCAAATGTTTTCCATTCACCAAGATTGGGTTTTATCCAGTACAGCAATTCCTATGTCCTTCTGCTCCAGTATGCTGTCTCGGACCATGGCCAGTAACAAATGCTTCAGCTGTTAGAAAGCTTTGATTGGTCTCCAACATGGACATCACAGTAGTTAAGGGCTAAAGCCCTGATTTAGCACAGCACTTAAACACATTCTTATCTTTAAGCAGGTGCTTCAGTTCCATTGACTGAGGCCCTTATCCTGCAGCTTGTTCCATATGGACAGACCGTTGCATGGAGCCCTATTGAAGTTCAGCTGCACACAGAAGCGAATGCATGATCAAGACTGTCATCTGATGTACTGAATTGGATCCCATTGTTCCATGGAGCAAGTGTTTCTCTCTCTCTCGTGCTCAGACATACAAGTAGCAGCTATAATATTCTTCAACTAAAGAAGCTGAAGCCCCTGGTTGTAGAAAACATTTATTAGTAAAGCCAAATTAGGTCATAAAAATAAACATTTTAATGGCACTGCCATTATGTAAACTTGGATATTCTGGGTTTAATATTAAAGTAATTTGGGACACAGCAGTTCTGGTTTAAAATAGTCTCTCAGGTTCCCCTGGATGTTGAACCAATGTTTATAGTACAAACATTTTCATATGTAACACCTTTGTTGAAGTTTATCCTTTGTATCACTATTGTTTGTCCCCTTCTATCCGTGGCCGTTTTCGAGGGTTAATTTCAACTTCTGCTGGGGTCTGGCTTGGAGGTGGAGGATGCACATCCCGGAAGCCATGAGGCTGTAAGATACAAACAAAACCAACAACAACAGTGGACCTGACTGTGATCTCAATTAAAGTGGTGAGAATCAGGAGTAACTCAAAGTTAATGGAGTGACACTGGTGCAACCCAACATCAGAATCAGGTCAGAAAAATGTCATTTATTTTAGAGAAGTTGTTTAAAGTGTTCCTAATCCAGGCTAAGATCAGAATTATAAGGAAGTTCTTCCACCTACAGGCCAACTAAAAGTAAAATGAGAAGAGAGAGCTTATAAAGATATTTTCCTATCCCCAATCAGGCCATCATTTTCCTTTTGTCACTAATCACCACTATGGTTATGGAGCACTGCTACTTTGTAAATTAACTTACACTGCCTATTGAACGCCAAATCCTTTAGTTCTTACTCAAGCAAAACTCCCTCAGAAGTGAGACACAAGCACTGAAGGATTCAGTGCTAGAATCACACTTGCACTCAAAAACGGGAACTTTTAAACCCCAGGACAAAAGTTGGGGTTTTTTTAAATCTGAAAATTGCAACAAGACACCACATTGTTACAGAAAAGCATATCTGAATCTGTCTTATCAAATTGCTCAGATCATCACTGCAGGAACAAGAGCGCTTGTGGCCAACAACTGTGATTTATGGAGCATGCTGGGATGTACCTCATCTGCCAAAACCCAAATGTGGGTTAGAATGTGGAAGTGACCAAAGACAGACACAGGGAAAAAAATTGAGATCTTAAAGTGAGGATTAATTTGTTTAGCATCAGTGGCATTTGCTTTAGGATTAGCTCACGGTTCAGAATTTCTGGATTTAAAAAGTTTACAAATAATAAAGGTCCATAAAATGAATTTTATGTTAAGTGTGTGTCTTATTTCAGACACATGCATGTGAGGAAAAGGGATATTATACACTATGAAGTGGGAGCCCTGGATTTGGCTCTCTATCCTCCTGTCTCCAGACTGACAATGCTATGCAGGAAGCATCTCATGCTGATCTCTCCAGATAGTTAAGGGTCAGTGCTGACTCTCTCACAGTTGTTCTCTGATGGAAGGATTGTGACTACAATGCAGGGCCTTGGAGAAGGAAAGGGATTAATCAGGAAAAAAAATTGCTGCCAGGATCCTGAATGCTCAGGGAGACACATGGAGAGGCAGAGAGCATTTCTGAAGAATTGACATTTCAGGTTGGTGCAGTGTGAAAAATCAGGTAGAATTACTATCAAGTATGTGACTTTTATAAAATGCCAGTGGGTCCTATGCGCAAGACCAATTCAATCCATGAAACAAAGCCAGTAAAAAGGTTTTGACTGAACTCTAATCTCTATAGATTCTTGTGTATTTCTAAATGTCTCACCACATACAGTTTACTGGGACTTTATTTTTAAAAATAAAATTATTAAAAAGGAACAAATAATAAGAGATCCCACAAGGGCAGAACTTGTACCATCCATCTGCTATTTTAAGCATCTCAAGTGTTCTTCTAAGCTGTATAATGGGGAATCTTAAAGTTTAGTGTTTCACTGCTGCTTGCATCTAATCTCTGCCATTTACCCTCAGCATAAAGATTGACCTATAGCCAAGAATTCATTTAATCTAACACACTAGACTCCAAGGTGAAGCATTCCACTAGTTATGTAAGCAGTGGCATGACAAAGTATGAAGTTCTTGGATACCTTGTGCATGTGTTGAAGGTACTTGGCTTTCAGCCTCGTGCTTTTCAGTCATCAGAGAAGAACTATCATTCTTGTATAGCTTCATGAAGTATGCTAGTACTTTTAGACAGGGATAATGTGGCCCCGGTGAGTTATTCTTTAATTTATCTCTATTTTACAGACAGGAGAATCACTAAGGATAGTTAACTTTATAAACCAGTTAAAAGGGAATGTCATCGTCAGTCCTGGAGAGCTGAAGCTCTTGTGTTCATAGAACTTAAACATTCATTGGCCACTCAGAATTACAGATTTTGTGTCAGTCTCCCATTGCTAAACTACAAAGTGACAAAATCTGGGAAAGTTACATGAAATGTCATGCTGAAATTCATAACACTTAGCACGTAATACTGAACATGTAAAGCACACTAATTAATGAATCCACAAAACCCCTGTGCGACAGCTAAGTATTATCCCCATTTTACAAGTGGAAAAACTGTGGGACAGAGATGTGAACTGACTTGCCAATAACCTGGAGGGGTGTCATTGTCCAGATCAGAACCAGGAGTTCCTAGTTACTAGCCTGTGCCTCAGACCACACCCTTTTGCCTGTCTGTTTACAGGCATGGAAGTGCCTATAACAGCGTTTCTCAACGACCAGTTCGTGGACCGGCACTGATCCCTGAGATCTCACTGACACAATTTAAGGAAGGCAGCAAGACGGTCCCTGGTATCAAAAAGGTTGAGAAACTGTGGCCTATAAGACCAGCTTTTTGTATCTTGGTGCAGATATGTTCGATCATATATTTTCCAGCATTGAATGTCTAAGTACTAAGATGATATTTAAGAATGGGTACATAGGATGGCTACCACCAAACCTGAATTTAATGGAAGAAATAGATACAGAATTTATCACTCATGGAATTTATCTATCCTTTGAAATCTATGCTGAAGAAGTTCAACAAGACTAAAGGACAACATCTGGATAATCTAAAATTTCAACCAATCTTTGATAACTGCACTCAAGAGAGCCACAGTTTCAGATTGTATGGAGGGATGGAGTGGAATTGGTCTATTTTACAAAATAAATCTGACAGGAAAAGGCACCTAGAAATATGACTAGAGGATTAAGATATGTTTTAAATTACTTTTTTCTCCCAAGGTTTGTAAATGAAATGAACAAAATCTTTGATTTCTGTTCACTATGAAAACCTCAGATATTATGGACACCATTAAAAATCTGCAAGAAATGCTATGGCAACATGTTACCATGAGCACCTGTGACAAACAATTATTACATGTAGCTACCTAAATGATAACTGAAGAGATGAGTTTGGAGTTCATTTAATCTGAACAGAACTTAGATAATATTATTACTTTGTACCTATATAGTGCTTTGGATCTGTACATCTACTAGCACTTAATAAAGGTGAATATCACAATATGTAATTTGTCACTCAGCATTGTATGAATGTGGCTTCCTCCAAGTATTGTCTTCCACTCTGTGTTCTAAAGGAACAAATTGTGCACTCAGAGCTGTAGACACACGTTCTGCAAGCTTCCTTTTGGATAAACCCCCTCCTCCCATCACTGAATCTTCACCCCAAAATGAATACTGACTGTAATATGGAAAGGTATGGTCGACTCCTTCTGACTCGGTGATTTGTACAATGTTGCCAACCTGGTCAAACAAAACAGGTTTTGTTAGCATTAGCAAATATACCCTGCTAAAAGATTTAGCAATGTTTCACAGCGCAATATAAAGCAAACTTTAGGCTTTTAGGGCCAGATTTTCAAAAAAGAGCACCACATTCAACAGCTCCCATTTAGGTATCTAAATAAAACAACTAAATTTTCAAGAGTTTCAGCACTGTTCTCAATGGGAATTCTGGGTGCATAGCACATTGTCTATTTAGATTGTGAACTCTTTAGGGCGGAGACCTTGCTTCCTTACTCATATGTACATGAGGTGCTGTTGGCCCTATGCAGATAATAATGGAAGTGTTTCACTTCGGAAAGACATTGAGTACAATTCTACTCTACTTCATTAAGCAATAGACTTAGCCTTGAGAAACAGCTGAAAGACAGGTTTAACTGTATCTAGTACGTTCCAACAAGCTGGGAAACAAGCAAGAAGTTTTTCCCAGATGTTTCTCAGGTTTATACACATAACGTAGTGGCTAGGGCATTGGATTAGGACACAGGAGACCTTTGTTCTATTCCTAGCCATACCACTAACCTATGCAACTTTAGGCATATCACTTACTCCTTCTGTGCCTGTTTCCCTTCCCCACTCTTTGTCATTCTTGTCTATTTAGACTGTAAGCTCTCTATGGCAGTAACTATCTCTGTACTGTGTTAGTACAGTGCCTGGCACAATGGAGCCCCAATCTTGGCTGGGGCCACTACGTACCACTGTAATACCAAAAAAATAACAACTAGAAAATATCTGAACAGGAAGAGATTTTGTCCCACCAGCCCTGTGAATGCATACCTCCCCAAAGCTTATACCCTCCCTTGAGAAACATAAGGAAAAAGTTCTTCCTTGCAACAATTTGTCACCTTCCAAACTGTGATACCCTGCCAAGGATCCTGTTAATTATTTTTAGGGTTTTTTTTTTCTCCCTTAGGTGCCATTCTATTAGAGAGCACATAATTACAGCCTGAGGAAGAGTGCCACTTCATATTAACTATATAGGGAATTCCTTAGAACATTTAAGTGTGGGTTGTACTTTACAAAATAGCCTAAATCTCAAGCAGCATAAGCCATGTTTTTATGGCACTCAGTTGGAGTTCTGCTAGCTGCCTCTGAGTCAACTGGGTCTGTTCTCACAGCAACAAACCCCACTGTAATTAAGCACTGAAATTTCCATTGCTGGCAGGGTGGAGAGAGAGGCAGGTATCATGTTTAACCAAAGCATAATGGACAAGGCAGGAAGACACTCTAGCAGTCACATGAGCTCCACAATAACAGCTACAGAAACAAGGATTGTTAGCTATATCTGGATCATTTACAGATACAACAGAATTTGTTTATTGCTGTTTGTTGCATGTCTAAAATAGTCAATAGCACTCAAAACTGTAGCAGCTTTGCAGGTCACTCATAAGGAGATGCATGCCATATATAAAGGTAAAGAAGAACGTTGTTCTATGCATATTGACCCTTTCTGCTTTCTCTATCTGCTAAATATACCTCAGTCGTTCCAGTGGGTTCATGAAGGAGGCAGGCCTCACAGTCAAAATGTCACTGCAAACTTTATTTTCAGTGAGTATTTATGATTAAGAACTTTTGTTCCATCTGGAGTCCACATGCTGATGCGGCTTCCCTCTTCCTAAGGGGCTTTTTGGCTGATCAGGGATGTCAAGTTAACTCCAAAACAGACAGCCTGGTGTAATCACGCCATGTCTCTCACAAATGGAGAAAGAAAAAAAAAAATCACCGCTCTCTCTCCACAGTTTAAAAAAACAACAACAAAATCCCAACAGCTGGTCTAGTTTGTTCATTGTTTGCAGAGGATTAGGGAGTAGAAGGGAGGTTTTATGCTGCCATAGTTATATCTACACACTGATATTATGTGCAAGACAAAGTCAAGCGAGCAGATAACAGAAGTGGGCTAGGAAAAAAAGAAGTGGTGGCGGGGGAAGTCACATTGCAGCAGACAGAAAGATAAAGTCGAACTGCTCCGGGGGGGAGTCACCCTCTTTGTTTTGAGCCCTGAAGGTTCCCCTTCAATTTCCCACCATCTGTCAGGAGGAGAACTAAAGGGAGCTCTTCAGAAAGGAAAGGGGTGCTTCAGTTTTTAGTAGGGAGATCCTGCTTTGGGAGGCAGAATGGTCCAATGGATGGGGCCAGGGATTGGGAGGCAGAAGATCTTATTCTTAATTAGTTTTATTACTGTAATGCCGAGTCATAGACCAGGACCCCATTGTGCTAAGTCAGTGGTTCTCAAAATGTGGGTCAGGACCCCAAAGTGGGTCACGAACCCATTTTAATGGGGTTGCCAGGGCTGGCGTTAGACTTGCTGGGGCCCAAGGCCAAAGCCCGAACCCCACCACCCGGGGCCAAAGCCTGAGCCGTACCACTTGGGGCTGAAACCAAAGCCCAAGCCCCACTACCCAGGCTTTGGCCCCCCCACCTGGGGCAGTGGGGCTTAGGTGGGCTCAGGCCTCAGTCCCCCTTCCTGGGGTCAAGTAGTAATTTTTGTTGTCAGAAGGGGGTCACGGTGCAATAAAGTTTGAGAACCCCTATGCTAAGTGCTGTACACACCGGCTTGCCCAAAATCACAAAAAACTTCTTTGTGCGTCAGTTTCCCCACCTGCAAAGTTTGTCCTTTTTTTTTTTTTTTTTTTTTTTTTTTAAATACAGGTACTCTACTCCTGTCGGCCCCCCACTGGCGTGATCCTACCCTGCTGGTGTCACACACCGCCCCCCACCCCCACTATGCATTTCAGATAATATGGTATCTGCCATGTGGCGTGATCTCACACATACCATGCATGAGGTCAAAAGAGCTTAGAAGCGCAAGAACACTGTTTTCGCCCCACTACCTTATTTAGTGAAGCTTTTTGAGGTGTATGGATGAAGAGAGCTGTAAATGCCACGTACAGTTTTTTATTATCCACCAGTCTCCAAATTGCTCTTGAAGCTGATGCCACCAGACTGATATTTTGATGCTACATGACATCCTGTCAAAGACATAGTGTAGTGCTGCAGCATGCTGATCACATGGGGAGGGAGGAGTTTGTCAGAAAGGTGACCATCCTACTGATGGCCTGACCTAGTAACCGTTGTAGTATTCCTGGGCCCTACCAGCCCAGAGAATGGGAGACCAAGACCTGAAATCAAACTCAGATCCCACTTGGCCGCTGGGTTCAACCTGAAATAGATTATCAAATAGAAGATGCAATAGGCACACTTTGTAAATTTGCTAGCCTGTACTTTCACTTACCTCTGTTTGTTGTCCCAGTGGAAGATTAAACGGATGGTAGCAGCATGTCCCCAGCTTTCCCCTAACAGAGCGAGAAAAAAAAAAATCCCACATGCTACTTTATTGTCTCCTACAATGCATTAGCATCAATACATTTAACAGCAAATAAAAAAAAACCTCATTCATCCACAAAGATGATTGAACACACAAACAAAAGTGATATGACTCAATACTCCCAGAAATAAGTGTATAAGGATTCCTTAATTATTTTACCAATTTGTAGGGTCAAGGAATAAAATCTACTCCCCTGGATTTTTGTGTGTGTGATTTTAAGATTGAAGCAATACCTTTATATTCAGAAAAAGGTTTTATATACATTTAGCAAGAGAACAGACACCAGTGATAGCATGACAGTATGACTAAGAGGAGCTTTCCCATCTTTAGAGAAAAAAGTATAGTGGTTATATGGTGGCATCTAAATTCAAGGCAGTTATAATCTGGCTCTCAATTCTATTTGTAAGCACACAAACTTTGCTATTTTCCTCCCAAAATCTTGGATCATAACAAGGGAATATTATGACTATTAAAGTGTTTAAGACTATTATGCTAAATCCTCCATTTCGGAGAGCCCTCTTCTGACTTATTCAAGAAGTAGAGTAGAATGCTCAGAAACTTGAGAAATTGGGGCAATTGCCCCATTTCAAGGGAAGTAATCCCATTATTTCTGTTCACATCTGACTATGAGCTGAAGTGTGAATCAATTTATAGATAGCACTACCAGATGTTTTTCTTTGTATGTTCCAGGGGACATTCTGTAGTCAGAAGATGGATTGGATTTTAAAGCAGTCATCCGGTTAAGTACTGCTAGCATACCCTATTCATCCAAACACAACCCCATAACTTCTGAGTCGAGTCAGTATATTTGTCTGTCTCTGACCTGTAACCAGTCCCATCCCATCACATCTTCATTACTGCACACAGAGGGGGGAAGCAATAGAACTCTGATAAAAGATCCTCAAATTAAATCACTTAATACATCTAGGCCAGGGGTCGGCAACGTTCGGCACGCGGCTCACCAGGGTAAGCACCCTGGCGAGTCGAACGTTGCCGATCCCTGATCTAGGCTTTCAAGGCAACTTGCCAGGCCCCACTCCATCATGCTAACGCAAGATTTAAGGTTGTGTTTCTTGGACATGGTTCTCAACTGGAGGTCAGAACATGAGTTTTACAAATGGGTGCAATTTCCATTTTAACAATATTTCCATGCATATTTAATTTAAAAAAATGACAAAATGAGATGCTTCTGAGTTAAACTGGCTGGAGATTAATATTGGACCTAATGGATAAGTATACCACATAAAAATGTCTAGGGACACCCATCTTAGCTCTCAGCAGTAGGAAAGAAAGCAGCCCCCTTCCCAGAAAGCTCCTGCCTTAATACCTTCCAGCATCTGGGTTTTATTCATAATTTAGGGCTTCCCTTCCACTAGGAAACCGAATAACACTTTAGGGATTAAAGCTCTTGTGAACTCTTAAGAGAGATTTTCTAGGGCCTACTAATCAATGAAACAACATTCAGTGGGGGAGACAGAAGACAGACAACCAGAGGCAGCAGGGCTGAAAATCGCTGACTTGGATACAAATAGATTAGATGCTAACAAGCCATCATTCTTTGGCTGTAATCAACATTTGAGGAACAAGTTTACTTTAGCCTCATTATGAGACCATTGCCATAGATGTACCATCTACACAGTGGTTCTCAACCAGGGGTACACGTACCCCTGGGGGTACGTAGATGTCTTCCAGAGGGTACATCAACTCATCTAAATATTTGCCGAGTTTTACAACAGGCTACATAAAAAGCACTAGCAAAGGCAGTACAAACTAAAATTTCATACAATGACTTGTTTATACTGCTCTAATATACTATACACTGAAATATAAGTACAATGTTTATATTCCAATTGATTTATTTTATTATTATTATATGGTAACAATGAGAAAGTAAGCAATTTTTCAGTAATAGCATGCTGTGACACTTTCGTATTTTTACATCTGATTTTGTAAGCAAGTAGTTTTAAGTCAAACTCCTGAAAGGGGTACAGTACTCTGGAAAGGTTGAGAGTCACTGATCTAGAGGGCCTTCAAATCACTCTCCTAATTCTCCAATGCAACACTTAAAATAGGTGGATCTCCAGAGTAAATACAAATCAAATTGCACACAGCCTTGTGCCACTTCAGAATCCTCAGCCTCTGAGCTGCAGTTGCTTAAAATTGAAATGTGGCTGAGCAGGGGCCCTCTTAGCCTGAATATTTCACCAGCTGAGGACAAACCTTCACTGTAGCAGGAGATGCAATTTAGTTTAACAAATCTATAAAGCTGCACACATATTTAGGGCAGAGTCACATACAGTTTATGTCTTCTGCAATGGGGAGGCTATGTCACATCAAAAAATCCTTAATTTCAAAACTGTGCGCAAGACAGTTCGTGACACCTTGGGAATATCACCTAAATGGACTTCTTTTACATTCTTCACTGTCCCTATGACCCAGTAAAACAGAGCAGTTTTCCCAAACACTGGCTGTTAAATAAGGTTAAATCTATTAGCTTTAATTCATTTTGAAGCCAGAAAGGCTGTCAAAAATAATGAATACAGCTGAGAGCAGGAGGTAAAGATGACAAAGGGTCAGATACTGAAAGCAAGGTCTTTATCTGCATGCACAGTTCAAAATCCAATGTTGTCCAAGGAGATGCCTTGTATTTGTTCATTTTATCTTACTTCTGTGCCAAACGGTTCAAGGGCTGAACATTCATTGGGAACATCTTTCCCTCCTGCCTCTCCCCCCTCAAATAATCAAGACAATCATTACTTGATTCACAGAAGGTGAAGCTGTATGCAGAGAATGTTTCCCTGTCTAATTACAACATTAAATATATTTACAACATAAACCAAGAAAGAGGAAATTTAAAGCTTAATTAGGCCAAATCTCCATCCTTCAGGCAAACTGTTCCAGTCTGCCCTGTAAACTTAGTAGACAGTCCCATACAGATCATCCTGCTTATGGGATACACAAGAGTAATTTGTATGGGTATCTTTACTCTGCTTATAGGATAAATCAAAGTAGAGTGCCCCACACAGAATCTCCCCACCTCTTCATAATTACACAGGGTGAAGGACAGGTTATCAGATAGTTCCAATGCGTGCACCAAATCTGAAACACTTTTGGAAACTATTAAGGAGTACAGTTTCAAAGGTTTACTTTGCCACTGTGTTTGAATATATTTAGGGGTGTGGATGGGAAGTTCTCAGGCAATTGTAGGGGAAGAAAATGAAAGCATGGTGGGGCCATTACCCCTTATGTCTTTGTGGGACATGCTGCAAGACATTAGCTTCAGATTCTGGAAACTAGCTACTGTACCCATCTAATAAAGCAGCGAATCTATACTATTTTCCCTCAAGAAGCAATTCAGTCAAATTTAGGAGTCCTAACAAAGGCTCAAACTAGTAACATTCCCAATCTGCAACTTAAAAGGTTACAAAACAAAATTGTTAAAAATTAAATCCTTTTTTAGGCTGGGATCTCAGATGCCATATTTGATCGTAGGATTAGTTTTAATAGCAGCAGCTGAGGCCTGTAGTGAAAACAATATAGCTTGTTGTATTTCAGGACTCTCCACCAGCAGCACTAAGTCATCACAGGTTCAGGTAATTTTACTGCCAATACTCAGCATTTTCCTGCAGCCACAGAAATTACAGCCAACATTTTCAGGTTTTTGTTCACGAAAAACAAACATTCAAAGGATAATGTAATTTTCAACTTGCTGGCTAAACACCTACCTAAAGCAGGTACCAACATGGACTGACTTTGTCCAATCCTTGTTGTCATTTGATTTGTCAAAACTACCTAAAGGGGAATGGGGGGGGGAAGAGAAGAGAAGAGAAGGAAACAATAAAAATACAGGGAAACTGTCATGTAAGAAAAGAAAAAAATGATTTTCCAAGTCTGCATCAAGAAAAGCTATATTAATAATCTAATGCTGCCATTATTACTCAAGCAAGACTCCCACTGACTGCAATGGGACTTTTGCACAGTAAAGAGAGGCTGGGAACATTTACGGTATCACTATCCAGAGCAGATTAGTAGAACTCTGCAAAAATATTTTCAGTCTTCTAGGGAGGGGGGGGGTTGCTCTCATTCAGGACTGTAGCTCTAAAGCTAAACCTTCTCCTCATACTAGATGCCCAAACATCTTACACGCTGGTACGTTACACAGACATCTAAACAGTAGTTAACACAAATTCTATTATTCACATACATAGGCCCTCTGGCAAAGGGGTAGACATCACCCAGTGTACCATAAATGTACACAGTGATGTACAAAGTGTGCATGTGCTCTGCAATTAGCAGAATCCCTGCAGCTTCTAGTCTAAAAATGCGCAAGTAGGTACAATACAAAGCAATACGCAAGAGAACAGACAGAGTGGGGGAGTGTTTTTACAGCATGAATCTTCGTAGGCGGATCACAGACAGTCTAGATTAGATTCCTGGTAGAATGGAGGTAGTGGTGGGGAAGAGATAAAAAAGGAGCAAGAGAGGTAACAGCTGACTTCATACACTAGATTTGATAATTTTGCAGATTTTCTTCATTGTCATATTCATTTCAGTTTACTGAAAAAAAAAACAGCACCTATCCCAAATCCAAGGTCTTTCAGTGTTTGGTTTTATTACTGCTGTGCAATTGTTGCCTGACTAGTTAATTCATTAGACGATTTCCTATACATTGTGATTTATCATTTCTTTAGGAAGGGATGTTTGTGCTGTACTGCTTCCCTGTTCAATAAAACAAAATATATATGTATCATTTGGGTGAAGGAAAGAGACCTATATGATGAAAGCTATTCTCTTTCAAGTTCACAAGACAACTAATATATGGGCTGGATGGGAATAAAGAGAAAGGTGTACAAAATACAGTTACAGAATACATTTATCCCCTGGTACCTACACATGAAGGAAAGCCCTTCATAATTCATGTGTGTGGCTTACTGTCACCAGCAGGCACACATGTGTTACACTGGCAGAATGCAGTTATGCGCTTTTCCTTCCTGTAGTTATCTAAGGAAACACGGGGGAGGATTTATTTTTAGCAGTACAGACAAAAGCCAATTGCATGACAGCAGTCTGGATGACAGGGAATCAAGTCACCTGGCAATTGTGTGGACAAGCACCATTTTGAGACTGTGGAAGCTTTAATTCCTGAACAATGCTTCTCTGTGTTGTAAGATCTCAAAAAACACCCCTATATTTAGCTGTAGCTCCTGAGTGCCATCTGCTGGCTAGATGGCTGCACATTTGCAGACTTTCATACTGGGGTAAATGATGCAGAAACAATTTACAGGCAGGAAACTATGGGTTTCCATGGATGCCAGAGCAATGAGCCAAACCACAGCAAAGAAAGTGGTTTTCCACCCTCGATGTGGTCCTTTCATGAAAACAGTAGTTATTTCTAAACCAGCAGGCCCAATCTAAGACAATTTAAGGATTCCTAGTTTATTTAAATGTGTGCACACATGTCGGGAGAAGAAGCTGAAGGCACAAGCTCTAGCTCTCCTTTTTCTAGATGTTTTTAATAAGAGAAGCTACCAGTGACAAAAGGCCAGTTCAACTGGGCAGAATTAAACATCTGTGAAAAGAACTTCACTTTAAGTGGTGTTTCACTGTAACATAAAACAGATGCCATGGGAAAACATTCCCTCTTGACCTTACTAATGATAGTGGTAGACTCTCTTCTGCACCCCCTCCCTCTCTATAAGGCATATGCACCACTTCGGTCCCCTCAGATGGAGAGGGCGTGGTCAGCTTTGTGTGTCTTTGCCCCTTCCTTCCACAGGTTAGTAGCAATTTCTCTTCTACTGTTCAGCCAGAGCAGAGGAGAGGGGAGATGATAATCCCCGCGGAAAGACAGTAATAGTCCTCTCACTAGCAAGCATAGTGAAAACCAGTTGTAGCAAAGTGAAACTTCACTGTAAGCAGAGAGCATAAGAAAGGAAAGTCCACTGAAACACCATGGAACTTCCACTCCACTACCAGCAGGGGTTATTGTATCTGCTATCATATTTAAAATCCCTACCCCAACCAAGACGCACGAAGAAAGAAAGTATAAAATAATATAGGCTTCTACAAATTGGTATTTGATCATTTAACTAAGTAGATTCATAAGATACTTCTCAGGTCTATTTTACTTGTGTAGCCAAGTCCAAGAGAAAGACTATCTAATTGTCCACCCTTTGCTTCGTGTCCTTTCTACAGCAGATTCTGCTTATTGGCAAATCTCTCAGATGCCAGCAAAAAGTTGCCATTATCCAGTTGTTGCTAATTAGCGGAAGGCAGCTTTGCAGGGCTGCAGTCAGGGAAGGCACCACTGGAATGTGTCTTCCCTGGCTGCAGCCCCACAAACACGCCTGCGGGCAGAGCAGCAGTGGGGAGGGGAGCTGCAGCCCAGATACTGGGGCTTTCTATGGTGAGTGGAGATGCTAGGGGCTCAAGGAGCTCCAGGGTGCTCTTTCTGCGCTCTCTGGTGCTTGGGGCTGAGCATGTCCCAGCACTTCCTTCGCTGGGAGCAGCCCCCCAGCAGGGCACAGCTCAGGGAGAGGTACTGTGCAGCTATGCCATCTGGGCTGGAGCCCTCCCCACCCTGTTATTGCTCTGCCCACAACCTCCCCTCCCAGCCCAGAGCTCCTGTGCAGGTCCTTTGCACAGGATAGGTTAGCAGAGCTGCAGCCCCACAAGGAAGTTCTAGGACATGCTGAGCACTGGCCGCAGGCAGATTTGCAGGGTTGCAGCCAGGGAAAGCACGAACCAGCACTTCCTTCCCTGGCTGCAGCCTCACAAACTTGCCTGCAGCTGGGGGCTTTCTTCCAAAAAACCATGATGAATAAGCAGTATACCACTGCTAATATCCAATTCCATTAACATTAAAGTCAATGGTACAGGATTGGTTTCTAGCAAAATGTTGCTATTAACAGATTGTTGTTATCTGCTAACAGGCAAACAAGTTTCAGTTGCATGCCTGCAGTTTTATTTTGCTGTTTTCAGGCATAGATAACCGCATTAGTAGAGTCCTGTTGTGTACTTTGCGTATTGTAAAACTGCATCTCCTTTGACTCAACTCACACCCAAACTCACAGCTAATTTATGAGCATTTGCTATGCTGATCAACTGTTGTGCTAAGCCATTCAGAAGCCGCGTTCGCAGTGAGAGGTCCTCAAAGTCGTGGCGAAAAGGAAAGGCAATTCCATCCACAATAACCAATCGGACCTAAACATAGAAAGCAAAAAAAATGGTGTTAAGCTTGTATTCTATAAACTAGTGATGACATCCAACAGAATATTTCAAGTGTATCAGAATCTATTTCATATAAAATAATTAAAATCTTCTATTTGCTATCTATATGTGTCCAATAACCAATAATACACTAAGATAAAAAGCTGGACAACATTAGTGGTTGAGAATGGAAACAGGAGAAGAGAAAGTTAAGCATCAGTTACTACTTTTCAGCCTCCTCAACTTTAATTCCTATTATTTTAATTTCACCCTCACAAAGGAACAGGATGAACTTCACTGTTAAGGTAACTCATCAAGGTACTGAGGCTGTAAGCAGAGATCAAGCTTGGAAACATGGATTTTAACAGAAATTTACAGATATACCAGGCACTGCGCTATGGAATCCAGTGTCTGTCTCCCCTGTAGATGTTTGCTTTGCTGAACAGTTTCTTTTGGAGCATTCATTAGCTAAAACTAGAATACAAACACTGCTATAGGCTCATCACCATCCATAGCAGATGAGGATTTTGATTTATTCCAGCTTCATTTGCAATAGCTGTTATGATGGCCAAAACTGCTTCAAGTATAGGAGGGAGACCTGGTAGTCTTGTATTGTTCAAGTGCCTGGTTGCTAAAACAGCAGAATCATGGGATTCTGCAAGTTCTTGCATTACTGGGCAAGGCAACAGCTTGAAAATTACAATGGGAAAACCTTGTTGTTGTACTATTGATTTAACACATCACTGGAAAATAGCTTTAGGGCTGGAACGTACAATCCTGCAGCAAATGTCACTTTGGGAAATGGCACTGGGAATCCGACAGGAAAGAAGAATTTGAAATGGGAGGTGGAGCTGAAATCATCAGAATTAAAACAAGACCCCCTTGCTTTCTCTCATTTTTCTCCAGGGATTCTCTTTCATAAGATTCTAAGTGTCTGTCTGGTGCCTCATATTTGGCTATAAAATTCACTCCTGCCCTTACAGGAATGAGCAAATCAGTTTAACAGTACAATAATTCAGTATACTAGAAAGGCAAATCGTATTACCCCATCTACATGCCTATCCGATTAATAGATACTGAGGTATGATGGTAACTCCCCAGATTTCTTTCTATTGCATTTGTTACAAAATTAGCAGAATTGTGGGTTTAATAGACTCAAAATAGACAATAACCTAATCTTGATAACAGTTACCCTGTCCACACCACAGCTAACCCATTCAAGCTGAAGTTGTTTTAATTCCTATAAATCATAGTCTTCTCTGTAGTGTAGACAGTACCTATGGAGGTAACTTACACTGCTGCCCACCAAGGCTATCTGAAAAAAGGATCCATGTCATTCATAATACAAAATAAAGTTAGGAGCTGTTCTGGAGTTCCCAGGCTGTGTCTTAACTCTGAGGCTGCTTGGAGGGATTGGGCCAGTTTTAACACAAAATGGCACTGCAACTATCTGTTAGGTCACATATTAGGCTGGAGAAGAAATCACCAGAGAGTCTTGTAGTTCCCAACCATCAGAATATCAGATTCAAAGCCAAGCATCAATAATCTGCACAGATGGCACAACAGAATAGCAGCCCTTTGCCACTGTGCTAATGAGGCTGTGTGCTCTCCTGGGTGGCCAATACAACAAGGAACCTTTAGTACCTGGCAAAGAGAGGGCAATATCAGAGGCAAGTACAACTAAAACTAAAAAGTTCATCCAAAAATGGAAAATTAAGTATTAGATACAACCTGTATCCTGGATAACATTCCTAAACAATAGTCATTTGTACTCTGTTACACGGAGTCACAGAGCAGCTTGTTGGGGAGAGATTTGCCCTGAAGAATCTAAACATCTTGAAAGGAGGTGGAGGAAATCTGCATTACAATATTGTTACACTCAGAACCTAGGCAACTTTTCAGCAGTTGTCCACTATACAATTAAGCTGCAGGCTCAAGTTGCTTATAGCAACAGAAAATGTATTGAGAGAGAGAAAAGAGTCAGCCTCTGGCTGCCATGATGCTGATAGGTTCTTTTGGTGATGGATGCTGTCCTTGGGGGAGAAAACTGGCACTGTGTCATCCTGGCATCATTACATCATGTTGATGAAATGCAAACATGACCTAGAGATACATTTTCCAAGGGCACCTGTTGCACTAAGAAAATGTAGTATTTGTGGTGTGGTGCCTCAAGAGTCGTAGCATTAGGATGGAGATTAAGCAGGTTAAAAAGAAGGAAATTATTAGGAAGAGGAAATTGGTAGCAAGAGCTGAGAGAGAAAGAAGCACAGATTTTTACATCTGAGGTTAGGCAGCAGCCAAATCTCAGTTCCCAGGCTCATGGTCTGCTTGGAAACTCAGATTGATCAACCTTTTCTCACACCAATGAACAAACCCTCAATGTCTTCAATACATCTCCGAATACGTAAGGTATCTTTCATCTAAGTCTGCAGTAACCCTTACCTTTGAATGCTCTGAAAGGAAGTCTGGGAGGAGGTAGACCTGTGCTAGCAGCTCTGTGTAGTCATGACAACGGAAGTAATAGATATGAGAAAGAATACTTTCAAGCGAGAAAGTCTCCAGGGATTTTTGAAAGTCTGTGGGGGGGACCAAAAAAAAAAAAAAAAAAATTTGTGCTCAACACATTATTACTCTCATCATTCCTCCAACCCCTGTCTCCAGCACCTAACAAAAACAACATTTGAAAATTTGTAAAAAAAAGGAAAAGGAAGTTATCGGTCAACAATTAAAAGTGGAAGGAAATTTCCTTTCCATCTGGCTTGAAAGTGGGCAACACAATCACCTTCTAGAAATTGTATCAGAAGCTGTCTCAGGATATGCACACACATTCACTGAAACCTGCAGAGAAGACTGATGCAAAAATAACTAAGTTTAAAAAAAAAAAAAAACAATTTTGTTCAGTAATATAACTGTCAAGCCAGCTGACCAAAATGACATTAGTCAAAATTAACCAGACAATATTTAATGTGTGGGTACTAACTCATATGATATAGGTGTCCGCTCAAATCTGTTAAACATAAACAAGTTCTTTGCTCAATGTGGTCCTAATATTCATATGCCAAGGCTGCTGGACCTGACACCTTGACAACTTGTCCTCCTAGCTATCTATATGTAAACTAAACCTTTTAAATGCAATATAACTTGCCTACATTTAATTAGTTTTGCACATACACCACTATAAGATTGTTAGCCTACCATGCTGAAAGGAACACGGCTTGGTAATATACCTTCTTCCTGATGTGTTTCAGCAATAAGCTGGCAGTGCTGAACACAGGCAGTTGCAATGTCTACCACTCTGTCTACCATAAAGCTTCCCTCTGTATCAATGAAAACTGCTTCTCCAGCAAGCCCCCCAAAACATTCTGGAATCTGCACATCTACTGCCAGCTGCATACTGTCAGAAGAAACAAAAAGAGTTAAAGACAGAACGATAATTAAATAATAATATGTCATTATCTACAACCCCCCACTCCCAATTTATCTCTAAAGTGACAGTTAGTTCTGGTGAGGGGTAAACTGAACAGGAGATATTACCAGTATCAAGATATTTCTGTAATACACCATGGAATCTGGGGTTGCAGCCATAACAACAAGAATAAAGGACTTTGGCCATAGTTACAATCAGTATTATTAAATCCCTAGTTGCACAGAGGTAATATACAAATAAAATACCATAACTGGGTTTTCCCAACACCTGGTGCTCCACAGATCTCCGTGATTTTTGTTAGTTGCACACCACCTCCCAGAATATCATCTAAAGCTGAACAAAAGGTGATGATGAAGCCTTGTGCCTGTTCTTGTGCCAAGAGTTCTAGTGCTGTGCACTTCCCAACAGCTTCCGGATCATCAGCAGTCTTTGTTGCATTACTGTGACATTCTCTTCTTACAATTTGCAAGGTTTCTAGTGCCTCCTCTTTAGAGATTCCAATTTCTGGAGGGGGGAAAAAAAACAAACAAAAAAAAAGCATGAGACAGTTTATTTTTACAAACAACAGGTCCCAGTATAAATAGAGAAGACCGTTTCTGCTGGATTTATAGGCTCTGCAATTAAGAACAACATTTGAAAAGACTTGCCAAAAAGTATTAATATTTTTGGAGTAATAATGGAAACAGACTACTCATGCTGACCTATTTGTCTCCATCTTTGGAATAAAAACTAGTGGCCTGATTTTTAGAAGTACCAAGAACTCACAAATCCCACTGAAGTCAATGGAAGCTGCAGGCACTCAGCCCCTCTGAAAAAAATCAGACCATAAATTTCTTCTTCCAATCACTTAACACCAGCTTTCTTTAATATTCATTCTCTTTTGGTGATGACAGGATTTTTTTTTTTCAGAAGATAAAGGTTCACATCACGGCCAGAAAAGCGACTGACTACTGGTTTCTATCCCACTAGAAGCTCATCATACCAACATGACACCACTAATAAGATCCGTAGGAGCTGAACCAAACACAAAGGAAGTGACTCCAACAGCAATTAATGTGGTTTGTTCAAGTTCAGGTGGGAGTGTGCATGCCAAAGAAGGGACCTCCAAATGAGAGACCAGAAGTGACCTATGTCATAGATTTGGATGGGACCTGGGAAGACAAATTCCCTGTTGTCATATCATCAGGGACTAATGTAGTCAATTACTGCTCACTTGAAAAACACATCTTCTGGTTAATGGCTTCAGAACACAGTAGTTTTAACTAAATTACAGTGACACCTAGTGGTCATAAGCAGCAAATAACACAGAAGCATATTCAAGGGCCTAAGACCTATTTCAAATCCAAGTGAAGTTATACACAGTAATGGAACAATGCAAGATACATTAATATTTCTGATAAATATATATAAACTGCCCACCAACTACAGATATATTTATTTCACCTTGAAATGAGAAAAGATAAAAGCTGAGATAACATATTTCATACATTTATCTTAGTGGATTGGAAGATCTACTCTAGTTTCTTGTGATCTATTCTAGTTCCTTTGTAACCAATTTCACACCCCTTTACTTGGTTTAGGACCTGAGATGTGTATGTGTGGGGGTAACCTGTTACAGTTCTCCTTTCTCAGTGTCTCATTTCCATTTAGTTCTCAGCAAAAGCAGGATCCTCTGTCAAAGAGTCAGATCCTTTTTACTGAGATACAGTATAGGTAAAAATAATTAAACATGGGAAAACGTTTTCCTTTCACTTCTTCAGACTTGCATGAAGACTGGATGAGATAAGACCCTCCTCTCAGGGAGTCCAACCACAGTACTTGAGCACTGCTGAAGTTAAGTGCTTTATACACATGAACTAATTAATTAAACTAGTCAGTTAAAACCCCATTCTTACCAGCAAGGTGCTAGCCTGGTTTCCCATGTAGGCAGGGGAGTTCTGTTAATAATCAATGCTCAAAATCACAGTACAGACTGGGGGAATTGAGGGAGGACATTGAAAGGAGCCCCAAGAAAAGCCCTAAGATAGGGAGCAGAGTGACTGAAGATGAAACCTGGGCTATAGTGTCTGGGGATGGAACAATGAGGGGAATCCCAGCCTATGGTACCTAAGAGAGAAAGCTCCCAAGACTAGAGAAGTGGGGAGGTCCCTGGCTAGAGGGGTGCTTGGGGGTGGGGGTGGCTCAGGGTGGCACCTGGCCTGTAGAGAAGGGTCTTGGGGAGGATGAGAATGTGCCTAGGTAGAGGGTAAGGGTCATAGGTGCTGGAACTAGGGGTGCTGCTGTACCCCTGGATTGAAGTGGTTTCCATTATATACAGGGTTTACAATTTGGCTCTCAGTACCCCCACTATAAAAACTGTTCCAGCACCGCAGTAAGGAAGGGGTCTTGAGGAGAGAACGACGGCCAGGGGGGGAGGTTCGGTGGGGGCGTAGATGGGGCTTTAGAAGAAGCTATAGCGTGGGTAGACGGTCCGGGTCCGCTGGGAAGGGGCAGTCGGTGCGTGTGCAGGCCTGGCCTGGGAAAGAGGAGGGGCAGTGGGCGTGCGAAGGGGGAAAGCGCCGCCGCTGGGCTAGAGCCTAACAATTGAGACGTGGGGTCGGGGCCTTGGCGGGGGATAAACCAGACCCCTCCCCCGATGGGTCCCAGTCCGGTACCTTTGCTGAGCTCGCAGGGCCCGATCTCTAGCAGCTCCTGGGCCGTCTGGAACCCGGCTCCGATGAGCTTAGCCCTGAGGCCAGGGGCTAGGGGAAAGCTGCCCACATCCCGCTGCATGGTCCCCAGGCTGGGCCCAAAGCCTCCAGAGCTCTAGGCCTGGGCTCCGCCCCGGCCCGCCCCCGCCCAGGCCAGTCCCCTCCCACCGACCCGGGAGCCCGCCGGCGCTGCCCTGTCTGCGGCCCTAGATCCTTTCCCTCTGCTCGGCCCCCGGCTAGCGACTCCGGCCGGGCAGCAGGGAGCTTCTGCAGCCGGGCGAGGGCGCACGGTGCGAGCCATGAGGCACTCAGCCTGCTGGCTCATACTGGCGCCCCCAGCCTGGGTGTATATAGCGGGTCCCAGGTCAGGTGCCAAGGTTAGGTTGGGCACCCCTGAAAGAGGGGCAGTCTTAGGTGCTGTTTGCCCCCAGCCCTCTACCCGCCCCCCCCCCCAGCTTTTGAGACATATCCCTTTCACCCAACCGGTGTTTGTGCTCTGTCCTTTTTAGATAATAATCTCTAGGGGCAAGGGCTGTCTTGGCAGCGCCTAGCAAATCATGGGCACCATTGTAATGAAAATAGTCATCATCTATCTTTTGTAGCTAGATGTGCAGCAGTGCAGAAAAGAGGTGAGGTGAAGAGCTAAGTTCCTCAGCTCTGGTATAAGCAATGATCAACAAAAAGAACCCCAAACATGTTTTTTTTTTTTAAAGTATGATTTTTAAGACATTCTTAGAGTGGGTGGACTCATGGTATCACAATGCTTGGGGTTGGAAGTATTGCTTTAGTCACCTATCCTACTTGAACCTACATGTTGGGCCCTGGCACTGCACTCTTATCTACCTCAGACATGTGTTTCAATCAGCAACAAAATTTGTAGCTGCTTCTGTGAGTGAGAGACTGGCATTTGTAATATTAGTCCAAACTCCATTGTGAGTCAGGGCACATATAGCTGAAAGAGAGACAAATCTTTGCTGGTATAGCAGACTTTAGAGCTTGCTTTATAATCTCTGTGCCCATAGGGCAAGGAAGTGTGATCAGAATACAAGATTTGACAGGTGAATTATTTCTCCATTTAGTCCTTCATCTTCCAAGAGAGAGATAAGGACAGCCCAGGAATTGCAGGATTTGTCTGAGACATGAGACTACAGACAAGCAGCTACTTTAATTTGGTTGTGTTTAATTGAGTATAATGTTACAGTTGCCCTCACAGGCTGGGAAGTCCATTTGATCAGGCAGAAATTTTAATTTAACCCCGCCATGACTATTGTGAACAGCCAATTACACAGTGGGGACTTGAGGTGACATATCTCCAGGGATCAGGGGTCACAATGGAAAATAAAAGTAGTGGTATGAGAAACCTCTCCTCAGAATAATATCCCAGTCTCGACCCACAGCCCTAATGGAGCTAATTGTTCGTGCTGAAATCTCAACAATGTAGACGTGTAAATTACCATAGGCTTCAAAGTGAACAGCCCCACTGAGATTAATGAGAGCAGCTCATATTTCTTGGTTATTTTTGTATCTCTGCATTCTGATGCAGGCAGTGCTGTATGGTGGGGGGTACATTTATATCATGATATTTGCACGCTGGAAGACTGGGAACTTAGGCGGTGGTTCTGCAAGCTGATTCGCGAGGCTCCGCTTAATACTGTATTTCAAAAATGAAAGACCCAGTTTGAAAAATCATGACGCTGCCAGAGAAATGTGGCTAAAATGTACTGCTGCGCCCCACCTCGCTTGGCCCCCCGTTTTGTGCACATAGCACTGTATGTTGTACGTTTACTGTACACCCGGCATCCTGTTAAATGCACGAGGGGCACTCGGCAAGGCGTTCAATGCCTGGTGTCCACCGACCGGGCTAATTACAGCCACCGCTGGCAGGCGGAGGTGGCGTCAGGTTGCCAGACGGGGTGTCTCGCTGTATGTAGTCGATGCATGTGCATGTGGCAGCGTGTTGTAGGCATGATGTGCACGTGGCAGAAGTTTGGGTGGATGGCGTAGCCTGTAGTGAGCCTCCGACTGCTCCACTGCCCATCTTGGGGCAGGTTAATCTCCGCAGAAGGGTGGTCTGGACAAACCTCAGATGAAAGCCCGTGCTGCCCCGCTTCGCACTTCATGCCAGGGAGTTGTGGCCCAGGGGAGCCTCCATACCTCCCCCCAACACCCCGCCCTCGGGCAGCTCCTTGGACCCGTGGAGCTTCCACCCCTCCGGAACTGTGTCCTGTGGGGGCCTCCGTCCCTCGCCAGTAACGGTCGCCTCCCTCGACGGTTGGCCAGGGCTCCGCGGCCACGAGCTGCCAGGTGGGGACCGAGGTATTGGGGGGGGGGCGGATTGAGAGGGGGTCGAGATGGAGGAGCGAGGCGAAGAGGGGCCTGTAGCGGTCAACGGTTGTGCGGGGCTGGGGGGGGCGTGCCGGGTGTTTGTGGACCTGAAGCCGTGTATTAGGGCTGAGGGAGAGGGGACTGAGTGCGGGCCCACGTGGTGGGGTGGGGTGCGGTGTAGGGTGAGGGTGCTGAGTGCGGGGCGCGCGAGGTGGAGGGGTGTAGGGCGGGAGTGCTGGGTGTGGGGCCCACGTGGTGGTGTGTAGGGTGGGGGTGCTGGGTGCGGGGCGCACGGGTATTGAGGTGTAGGTGGGGGTGCTGGGTGCGTAGGGTGTAGGGCGGGGGTGCGTGGGGTACAGGATGAGGGTGCTGAGTGCGGGGCGCACGGGGTATTGAAGTGCAGGGTGGGGGTGCTGAGTGCGGGGTGGTGGGGTGTAGGGCGGGAGGGCGGGAGTGCGGGGCATGTGGGGGTGTAGGGCGGGAGTGCTGAGTGCGGGGCACGCAGGGTGGGGGGTGTAGGGCGGGAGTGTTGAGTACGGGGCGTGTGTGGGGTGTAGGGCAGAGTGCTGAGTGCGGGGCATGCGGGGTGGGGGTGTAGGGCGTTGAATGCGGGGCGCGTGGGGAGTGTAGGGCGGAGTGCGGGACGGGGGGTGTAGGTCGGGAGTGCTGAGTGCGGGGCGCGCGGGGTAATGGGGAATAAGGGAGTCTGTTGCGTGCGGCCACGGTGAGTAGGGGATAAAGGGGGGGAGGAATTGCTGAATACGAGATGAACCAGGTGCAGGGAAGGTACTGAGTGCCCTGTGATTAGAAGCGTTTGGGGGCTCTGGCCCTGAGCAGAAGGCACCAGTAACTGGAGCCTGTTTTACTCGCTCTATACTGTCCTTATCCAGAGCCCTGAGATACTGTAGGTCTGTGCACCTCTCAGGGGTTTAGGTTCATTCCCTTAGATGGACTCTGAGCATTGCTTCAGGGGGGTCCTCTTAAATCCTGTCTCACTTGCATTGTTTACCCCCGCACACAGCTCAGTCTATGGGGTCCAATAAGCAAAGTCTCTAATGAGTACATTCGAACCTTCTGTGTAGACCATATTCTCATGTGGTTTTGTTATTATCAGGTGAACTGCAGATGGGCCCATTAGGGAGCTCTGTCCTTCCCCCTTTCTTTCTCTATTTCGCGATGAAGAAGCAGTCGCTCGGTAGTGATTCTTATAGCTATTAAGCTATTTGAATCTAAAATAAGTGGATTGTACCTTTGCATTTTCTAGCTGTGACCTGGATTCAGTATAATTTATTAGTCTGTTTCTTTGAAACAGGATGGCTCATGCTGTCCCTCTCCCCATACCTTGTCCAGTCCAGCTTGGTACTATCAAAAATGATTCATTGGAAGCTCAACTGCACGAATATGTTAAACAAGGAAACTATGTTAAAGTGAAAAAAATCCTGAAAAAAGGTAAGAGTTGAATTTAGACAAGTGTTTGCAAATATCATGCTCTCTTGTATTTTTGACAATGGATGATGCTTTCTTTGTGTTAGGAAATTAGGATGCCATATGAAAAGTTTACTCCATTTTTGTGATTGATGTACAGATTTGGCTGTATATCAAATGGCATTAGTTATTTATTGTAACCACAAAACAGGTATGAACTGAAAAGTGGTAAGTGGAATAGAAAGTTATGTAGTTGAATACAGAACCAGTAAATAATAAAATGCTGCGGCTGTAATTTTGAAGAATTGTGGAAGTCCCCTTTTAGGAGGAAACGTATACTCCTATCAATTTACAGCATATTGGTTCAAACCGAAAAGCATTTCATGTCTCGTTTATTTCTCTGTAATTTTCGGCCGCCTGGTTATTCCCTATAAGCGAATGCAGATATTTTGCAGATGTTCTAATACTTGACATCTCTTTATTTTTGCAATTATAAAAAAAAAAACATTGCTGCTATATTTTCTATCCAAAATGTGACGTTCCTAATACTGGATGTTTACAGTCGTACCGTATCCAAATAGTGTACAGCTCTTGAACTAGGAAGAGAGTTGCATAGGGGAAAAACGGAGTTTATTCACCCCAATACCAGTTTTAGTGGCTTCCGTGAACTTGAGAAACATAACTGTAGACATGTGTAGATCCGTCTTAACGGCAAAGCTAGAGAGGCTCGAAAAGCAAACCACCAAGTTGATAATATATGGTCTGTTATTGCCAGTGAATTCGGAGTGCGGGGTGGTAAGCAGACGGGCCAATGTTAAGAAAACAGTACCTAATGGGAGGAGAGAGTAACAGGAATCTCTGGGGCACAGACGTCATTGCTTTAAGAGCGGATTGCTTACTGTCTACATCGCTTCTGAAGCACGTCAGCACCTTCGGCTCTTGCAATGCGTGCTTCTTGTGCGTAACTGTTCCGATGCGTCCTTCCTACGTAGCCAGTTCCAGTTTGTTAGTCCCGCCTCCATGTACGAACTATGGAAGAAATATCTGATTGGCTGAAGGGGTGTTCCTCTGTTAATTAGAAGAAGTGATTGGTGACATTCGGGAAAACATTTATTTGTAACAGAAGCTAAACGGCATTTTAAAAAGTTTCTTCATATGTTAGGTGCCACAATGAGATATGCGCACAGTGTTCTGTTTGTCAGTCTCGCTGTCGCTGTGATCATAGTGAGATTTGATGTATTAAATTACACACTGTAACCACGAAATATAGGCGCCTTAGACGTTAGACTATAGCCGTGGGAGGTTGTTTTAACACAAAGTGATTGGTTTGGCTAACTACAACGACGAGTTAAAGAGCTCTATGTAT